CAAGTCGCTTGTTATGTTGATTACACAGCCAACCAAAAATAAACTGAAGACTCAAAAGTTGCACTTGAAAATGCGGCAGTAAACGGAGGGGGCAAGGGTAGGGAGCTAGTTGCATAGGTTGAGAATAGAGAAGAGTCTGACATGCAACTGCCCCATGCAAAATGTTGTCCGTTCTGGGCAGCATTTAAAGCTGTTGCTGTTGCTTCTGCTGCTACTTGGCATAGGCAAGCCTCAAGTAGCATGCAACATTTGGCGCTGCTGTTGCGTACGTGTCTGTCAAAAGTGCTAAAAATAAACACATACGTATACAAATGCAGCAGCAGTAGCTGCAGTAACTGCAGTAACTGCAGCAGCAGCAGCAGCAGCAGCAACTGTCATTGGCGCCCTCAAATGCAGAGCTGCATCAACTTTTGCAAGAGTTGAAAGTTGAACGCCTTGGCAAATGCCGCGGCAATGCACCCGACTACTGCTGCTACTGCTACTGCTACTGCTACTGCTACGGCTACTGCTGCCACACCCACTGCCAGCAGTGCTGGGAAGATAAAGTTTTGCTCACGCAACAGTCGATCTGTTGGCAAAATCTGCCAGCGCCACATTTTGTTGGTATTGTTTTTCGTTGCAAATTTATTACAACATTTGCCACGCGCGCTGCTTTTATCTTTATCTGGGCGGGTTTTTATTTATCTGCCACGTTAAATTTACTTTTGCGTCGGAAAATGCTGTTCACATTTTCTTTGCTACTGCTGCTGCTGCTGCTGCTGCTTTTCATAATTTTTCGCCTCGAGGCCAAATTGTCGTCTTTATTTGCAGCATGGAAATGCTCGCAGTTTTTCTTTTTCGCTCGTTGAAACCATTTCGCATTTCCATTTCAATGCACATCAGCAGCAGCAGCAGAAGCAGTCGCAGCAGCAGTCGCAGTAACAGCTAAACGTGGCAAACGTTTTCGAGATTTCCAAATGCTCGCCCTCGCCATGACATTTGCGATTTTCCGCACATTTTGTATTTTATTGAACTGTTTGTCACAGGGCGCAAGTGCTTTAAGCCAGAGCGAGTAATGCACAGGGTTCGAGGCCCCGACCCCTCTCACTCAATTGGGAGCTCGAACCACGCACTCTCGCATATGATCATAAGCATGTCAACTTTATGAAAATCAAATGGAAATAAAAATGGACAGCGCCCATAAACAATAATATGTCGAGTGAGCTTTCAACTAACATAACTAAAAACCAAGTAGAAAAGTTCCTAATGTGTGGGTGGGCGTGGCAGCTGCTTAGCCAAGAAGCTAACGTGGCTAACTATCAGAATGCGGAGAGACTTAATAAAAAAAAAATAGAAGAAGACAAAAAAAAAAAAACAAACAAAAATGTATGAAATACTTTTACGACTTTCAAAGACATTTTTACAGCTCTCGCTGGCAACTTTTGCTAACGATATGCGATATGCACGCCGAGCCGGATGCGGAGCAGCTGGAGCTGCATTCCTGAGCAACGGGTCCAGTTGTGTGTCCAAGCTCGAATGCATGTCGCATCATAAAACCGAAAGTCATTTCGCACAGAACGTGTCTGCCGCCAAGAAGCCAAAGTCATTGCAGCCAATAATAATTCCAATTGTAGTACAGTGACAATTCCTTAGCTTCTTCTTGTTTTTTGTACCCTGTGACCATTGAAAATGGATAGACCAAAGGGTATCATGGCATTTTGAAAATGTTTGTAACAGGCACAAAAAAGAATCTTGCATCCCATATATATTCTTGAGACTTGGATGTTGAATATATTCTCGGATATAATACGCAAAATGAGTCATTTTTTTCGACATCATTTCCCATTTTCATATTATTAAAAAAATACCAAAATAAGAATATGGTTGTCGTAAAGCACGCACAGTTTAAGAATATTTCACATTCTGTATGATTTTCCACGTTTCCCACCAAGCTGTAAGAATCGCATTTCTTTTGGAGATATATTCTTCGACTTTGGTATGCGTACATATTTCATAAAGATCGGCCAATAGATACCCAAGTTATTACAGTATATCTTCCCATTTTAAGGGAGGCTCAGGCGTGACGGAAACTCGCCGCTGCTTACAGGCTATCTTCTAGTCGGACACTTTAGACTGGAGCATTATAGCTTTTTGTTTGCCTTTTCTTCGACCAGGATGCGCCCTCTTTCTTGGGTACAATGCACCAACAATGGTCAGCAGCAGCTCTTTTATTGCCCAGCGTTGGCATTTTAAGTGCAGCGGCAGCGGCAGCAACATACCAAAAACATTATTTGGTCAATGTAGACGACATGACGCGGCCATTAAACGCAACAAATAAGCAAACAATGGCTGAAACTTGCCCCAGGACAAGAGCCGGAATTTATTCTTCCTTGAAAACAAAAATTAGTAAAGTGCTTAAGCGAGAACAGAGACCCAAAATGTTTGGAGTCCAAGGTTTGTCCAGGCGGCGGATGATGACTTAAGCTGACGCTTCTTCAATTAGCCCTATATTTTATACTCGAGTCAAGCTAAAAAGAAACCCATAACTTTTACACTGTCGAGGTAAGCAGTTAATTTGCACTGCTTGCTGCACTGCTTGGGGGGATATCATTGTATCAGTGTACAATAATCGATAATAATCGTTATAAATTAGATCTTTCTAAACACTTCCAAAGTAATTAATAAAAATATGCATTTAACGTCCGAACTAAGAGTCCATAACTATAGTTGGCGATAGCTATCGATGCAGTTTAATAACTACGCACTTTCGATTAATTTGAATAGATGTGATTTGAAAGTGGAAACGGCATTACTTTCTATAAAAAAAGAAGATATAATAGACAAGTCTTTCTAAAAATCGTGAAAGCTTATCAAACGATAAACATTGTTTACTATCGAAAAGAAAATTTAATAAATGGATATCCCAAAATGTCACTGTCCAAAATTATGTCATTTGTAATAAAACCTTATATGGGTTATTAAACTGAAAAAGCAATAAACAATTGAATCAACATAAATCTTTTTGAGTACTTAATATGAACCTGATAGTGCCAGATAAATTAAATATTTTGAATTTACTATTGTGGGCCATGGGAATTAATGGGAAGCACAAAAGACTAATCGTTAAAAGTTAATTATAAATCCAGATAAATAATTGCAATCAAAGCGCACAGTTTGAATATATATTGAAAAACTAGGCAAACGCTTATTTCAATATGCACACATGTAATCAAGAAATGGCTGATAAAGTTATTGAAAGATCTATTTAAATATTACTGCAAATAATAAATGACTATAATTAGTCAAGCAATCAGCTTGATAAATATTATTTTATTGTATTTGCTTTCTATTTAAGTTGATTTAAATCAATCTTATATTTCTTAAAACTGAGCGCATTTGTTGTTGTTATACGAAGCAAACTGATAAGATTAGCATATATACAGCTTTTAACGAACTAGAAAGCGCGGCAGACCAACTAATTAGCTTCAATCATATTTGTAAACTAATAACCGAATTTGACGAGAATGCGTCAAGCGAAACAAAAAATAAAATAACACTGAAAGCAGCCAAACTTTTGGGCGCTCAAGCAGAAACCATCTAGAGAGACAGCCAAGCTGCCCGAAACAATTTATTTATTTAGTTTCGCTAAAGCTAATTAGCAACTAAAGTGAAATTAAAGCAAAGCCTGGCAACGGCAATGGACAATGGACTTTATGCCAGGACACGCAGAAGCCGGATGATGGAGTTGGCCAACGGTGTGCTACAACTAATTAAATGCAATAAGCAAGCGCCGGTAACTGGTGGACGGAACCAGACGGGGCGAGACACACAGCAGGACACGGCAAGATAGGGCGTGACAGGAAGTGATGAGAAAATAAGCAAGCAAAGCACCAAAGATTGAATACCCTTGCAGGCATCTAACAGATATAGACCATGTTAGATATATATATATACATATAATGGGACAGCATTTGCTTTGACGTACTGTTCCTATAGAAGGACTGGATCTAACAGCAGCTCGTTTTTACTGAGTTTGATTGGGCTAAGCCAAGCTGTGTACAATGTACTGATCCGCTTTCCATGCTTCCACAAACTCAAAAGATTCAGCAAAAGGGAAACCCAGGTTTGTTTAAGATATCCGAAATAAAATGGGAGCTATGTGATTAGTAGACCGAATCTAATAAATGTTGTCTAGTAAAGCTTGAAATTATTGATATCCTAAGAAACTTAAATGTTTTTCATAGAAAAACAAATAGTTCCTATATCAATGATTTAATATGCTATAGTTATTCGACGCTAAAAAGATTCCGTGATATTATAGAAACATACTAAAACTTGTAATCCAGGAGTTTGTTTGAAGATGTAAAACAAAAATGTTTTTTAAATACAAAAACTTAATGTTTGACCAATCATTCATATGCCAGCTATACAATTTGCTAATCGAATGTTCCTGGCAAATAAGGACCCTAGTAAAGCTAGTAAATTATAAGATTGGCTAAGATATCTTAAAAAACAAATGATTTTCGAAAAATAACTTTTTATTTTCTATGGCAACAATATTATATAGGGATTCGATCCGGTGGGTTACGATAAATGTACTATGTACTGTCCACAACAAAAAGACGGATCTATGCAAGGTTTCGAACAAATAGAATTGAGAACAATCTTTACAGGTCTTTACAGGCTTTATCGACTCAGGCGAATATATTAATATATTTTTTATATTGTTAATATATCCCTTAATGCATTACATCACGTAATATAACTGAAATGCCCGCTGCTAGAGTATAAGAAGCCAACGAGTGACAACTTTGTTTTGATGTGTAAGGACATTAACAGGACTCCGTCAGTCGGAGGAAGAGTCAGAGTGCGAGTACGCCCGTACGCTTACGCTACGCGGCACAAACTAACGACGAGAACGCGTTTTAATTTGTACATTATAGTAATTAGTTTAACATTAGTTAGCAGCAGTTAGTTTTAATGAACAAGCGACATACAAATTTCCCTAGTCGCGTACTTACCGCTCTTAAAGGTGGCCATCAGACGCTCCGAGTCGGCGCCATGCTGGCAATCGAAAAGCGAAGTCTCGAGAAGATCGACAGGCAGATAGCCAAGCAGTGCGAGCATTCTGAAAGAGCAAAACCAAAAGGATATTAGATGCCATAGCTTTATATGAGATCTATGCACTTGGGCTCACTTGTCATCCACATAGGTAAACTTCATGTCGAGGCTGTGCTTGGTCAGAAATGTGCTGGTGCCCAGCGGTATTTCAATGTTCGAGGGATGCGGAATGGGTCGACCAATGGCAATGAGCACACGCTCGCCTTTGCTATTGACGCGCAAATGACCGGTTATGTGGATAACCTGGATGCGGAATGGAACAAATATATTTTAAGCAATTGGCAAGCATTAAGATTTTCGGTTTAAATTCGCACCTTATAGGAGGCGCTCTTGATATTGATGCTGCGCCCGCTTCTGGTTAGAGTGCATTTCATGCGCACGAACAGATCGCGATGATGTGTGCTAACGCCCGATTCGATTAGCTGCTCATCCTTGATCTTGTCGGCAATGCCATTGCGTTTTAGATTAAGCGCCTCCTTGATCTCGGCATGATCGCACTGATGCGTGTACTCCCAGATCTGTTGGCCCAGTGTATCAATCTGAAGTATACATAATTATGAAAAGCTGTATCAACACAAAAATATATTCAATTTTGTTGGCACCTTTGTTATGCCCAGATAATCTATAATGTTATCCGAGACGTAGGTGACGTCGCCCTCATTGGATAGCACCACCAAAAAGCCATCCATGGTCTGTTTCAATAGTTGACTGGCCTCGGCGGACTTAAGCCAATCCTCGCTATCGTTTTCCACCTTGGGCTTCACCAGTGTCGCAGTCGCATCCCCGTCGGCCATGTCAATAGGCTCACGTATATTGGGTACTATAAGAAAATATATAGGTGCATATAAAATAAATATTATAATGGGGCATTATGCTAATAAAAACCTACCAAACTCGAGCATCTGGCGTATTTTCAGATAGGCAATTGTAATGCGCATCACTGATGCCTTGTCCAGCTGATTGACATCGTCGGGCTTCAGCGGCAATGCCTGAGATAGTTCCATAAATATTTCTGTCTCCTTGGAGCGACGACAACGCGCCGCATCTCGTGACTTTTCCTTGCGCTTTTCATTATTCCTGCAAACAGAATTCAACTGCATAAGTATGCGAATATGCAAAGTGAAAAAGCTAGATCTGTATCGGATCACGTAGACCACTCTTGACGTCGTTACACTGGATTTGCAAAAATTTACATGGCTACAGCTAGGGAGCGATACCCTGAGGAGGTGCGGGCTGTTGGGTAGGCAGAAATGCGTGCATTTCAATTGTTGCGATTTGCTGCGTTTTTATTTGATTTGATTCAATTGACGCGGCCAGCGCTTAATTTTTCAATTGAGCAAAACATTCGCTAAAATTTGCTGGCAAGGCGAAGGTGGCAAAGTTCACGGCAGCTGCGCCAAAACACGCGACCAGCCCATAGCTTTTCCAATATAAAAAAAATGAGTATAAATCGATTTTGAATTGAATGCGAACAGTTCATAAATATTTTTAAAAATAACATATGAAACAAAAAAGTGGGCACATCTTCGTGATGCCGAAGATTTAATACCCTTCAATACAGAGGCCTTATGGTTGTTCAGAAACGTAAGAAGAAACGTAACCGCTTCTTCCCATAGTGCAGTAGCGAGATCTTGATAAGATTTGGCTCACATAAAAGCGTCATAGTCTTTCTCGTAAATATCTGGTTTGGTCAAGGTAACTTAATAAACAAACAAGTTTTTAAACATCTATCTTCGAGCGATCGTTCCTATGGCAGCTTTATTATATAGAGCCCCGATCCGAAAAGTTCCAAAACATGTACTGCCTGCAACAGAAAGATGGCGCGTAAAGTCCTAGTAAAAATTTCTTCTAGACTTCCGACCTCCATAAATTTTCAAAAACTAAACCAATTTTCATAATAAACACAATTTTGAATTGTCGTCTGGATCAATTATACATTTAAATTTTATGTAATAAAAAAAGCAAATTTTCTAGAATTCAAAGGGTGTCTGAGAAACACAGACACTGTCTGTATTATTAGCTTGTCAAAAATTACCAAAATTCTGATTTGTTAATTTTTTCCAAAAAACAAAGTACTGCCCCTCTTACACATCAAACTCGCTTAACTTTTCCTAAACTTAACTTATTTTTTGTAATGTAAACCGATTGAAATGTATTTTTATGAATTAGATTCACCCTCTAGATTTTGCATCTTCAACTTTTGCATGTATGAAAATATATTTTCTCGAAATATGTTGGAGGTAGAAATTTTGTAATATTATCGGAAGAATCCAAAGTACGAGCATAGGTCGATTATGTGAGTTACGACAGGCAGAAATTTATTTAAGACCCTTTCACTTTTAGCCCATACACAACCACTCACACACACATGATTGCTTTTTGCCCATGCCAGGCAGTGGACTGCACCACTCATGTGGACAAGTGGACTGTGCTTAGTGGCTTAAGATAACCAGAACCTGACAGACATGACATGAAGTAATTAGATAATAACAAGTTAAAGCCTTGACACCATTCGAGTTGCTGACAAACAAAGGGAAAATATAAATACAAAAAATAAGCAATGATTTTTTTTTCGCTCATCTTCGAGACGCATGTTAAAGGCAATTAGCACGTCGGAAAGTTCAATGGAAAGTGAATGAACCGAACGGATTCGTCACCTCCAAGCGGAATTTTGCACAGAAGATAGGAATATGTAAACATGTTTATTAGAAAGTGCCTCAAGGAAAACTAAACAAACAAATACGTATGCCCAATGTCTTATCAATTGGCCCACCATAAAGAAGACAAAGAAATTATAGTTCACATGACAAATTGCAAATGTGTGCGCTGATAGTATATATATATATATATATGCATTTAATTTATATGCGTACATTTATTAGACAGTTAAGAGTGCACTGACCTCACGCAAAACACACGTTGCGCTGCCAATTCTGACGAAAATATATATACTATATATAAAACACACTCAAATACCAGCTGACTAAGTAACTGCAGCTGCCAAGAAAAACTCGTGAGCTGTCGCAAAACTAATATGCCAAATTAATTGCTAGCGAATGATCATTATAATGTTTATAGTCTCATATAAATAAATATGCGAAATAAGGTCGCCAAATAAAAAGTTTTTGTACGTTGCGGGAACTGCGGCACGTAGCAAAAATTGCACAAACTAAATATATGCACAGAAATGTAACGACAAACTTGTGAAATTCACGAAAAATCCAAAAAAGTTGTCTTAAAAACTCATAAAAAAGAGCGCAAATTAATTATCGAGTCGCGCAGAGCAATAAAACAAATAAAGCTATTTGAAAAAAAGAAAAATATATTAAATATATATACAAAGCAGCAACCTCTTGACAACAAGCGCCAAACGTCACAGCGGCAGATCTTACCCACAAACACCCCCCCCCCCGCTGCCACGCCCCATCCGACTACAATTCCATTTTCTTTAGGAAGCTTTACATGTCAAGCTATGCCGCCATATCAGTAAGACAGACAGATAAACCGAAAAAAATAGCAACAAAGTATTATTATTATTTATCGCATTACTCATACGACGTGTGGCAAGCCCAATTGACAAACTAAACTGTTTGTAATACTCTTCAGCAGCATGTAATTCCTGCTTCCAAACGGCAATTGGCAACAAATACTTGACTTTGAAAACAATATTCATAAGATATCGAGGCAAACAAAAGCCTGATAGCAAATGATTTTTACTAATATGTGTTTCTATGGAAAACGGGATACTAAGTAAATGTGTTTTAGTAAGCCCTAGTTTCCCAGCTAGAAAATACTCTGTTCCCAGATTCCCATTTACCAATCCACGCACACAAAACACACATAAGCAACACACAATTTTAGCTGCGACTTTACTTTTTACCTCAGCCTTACCACGTGTAATATTTATTCTTTTATAACATATGTGTTTATTGCTCTGCTCGATCGTTAATTTTTTCAGTCTAAATATATTTAAATTTGGGTATATACCAAAAAATAAAAGTGTGACTGAAGTTCTATTTCTATTTTTAATTCTGTCGAACATCTGGGCAGAATGTGCAGAAAGTTTCTTAAGACATGTCAAAGCGATTAAATTAATCAAAATATTCAACATTTATGGTGGCTAGAAATCGATTTTACTAATCATCAAATTTGACATTTATCTACGAATAATCGATAGTTCGATACAAATTAATTGTGAACATTTACAAAACATGCAAAAGTATATATATATATATCAAATTACGAAATTATCGATTACTATATATATATATATATGTTATATATGTATGCTTGATCAGTGTGAACAGCCAAGTCGATATCTTCAATCTCTGACTATTAAAACTAGTGTAATAAGTCGGAACGTTGGTTTTTTAGCAGACTTTATTATATGAAAGCATGACAATAATTTGAATTTGTTAAAATAAATTTTTCTGGTCCATCAAAAATCTGAACTCACCAATTATTTACTTTTATATGAAGCAACAACTGAACAATATCATCTATGTATAGCATTAGAACAATCATTCAACTAAAGATTTTCTATTATCTATATTTTAGATAAAAAGAAAATTTTATCAATAAAAAGCAACCTTATGCTTTTAACATATCGTGCATTTGCCTGTTGCATGCAAATCTATTTCATCTTTGGCATTTCGACTTCGCATATTAATATTTAACACACAAAATTGTTTTAAAATATATAAGTAAGTGCTTCGATACAACAATTCCCCAAGTACATAAAAATAAGTATTTATAAGCAGCAGTTCGAATGTATCGTATCGTGCCACCCTATCGCCATGCCCCGCCTCAGTGGGGGCCTTTGATTGCATGCTAATGGCCTGCTTAAACGGCCCGAAGATGCGGGGGGCGGCTGCGGCGAAGTGAATTGTTTTTAATATATTCACATGGCGACTGCATTTTGTTTTGTTGTTTTTTAATTGTTGTTGTTATTGCTTGCTGTGGTTGCTTTAAGCGTTTCCGGCTGCGACCGCCTTTGAGCGACGCTCAATGGCAGCGGAGCGCGGTGAGCACTAGGGCATAGTCTGGGCACGTGCGCTACTATAAGTACAATGTATAACTATATGTAACGTAATCTTTATAATGCGACTAGCTCGAAATCACGAGAGCAGGCAGTCGCTTCAGAATTATTTATTGAACCAGTTCTGGCAGCAGCATCTTACGGCTGAAACTATTGATAATAACATATATATATACATGTAGGTACTCAAAACCTGTTAACTCTTAACCAATTCTTATAGAATGAAAATTTTAACTATGGCAAACAAAACCCATGTGTTTTAATTGCAATTAATTAACAATTAAACACTCAAGTGTTTTAATTACTTGGCATACACAATCCATTTATTAGATTTAACTAACCGCTTGGCAATTCAAATTGTTTTGAAATTTAACTTGGCATTTGGAATGCAAAAGAAGCCTTGTATTATAAATTCTTAATTCTAAGAAATTTATTTTGATACTTTCTATAATAATTGAACTCATCTGAACGCTTATCTATATGGAGATCCTGGTATAGGTTAACACTTGGGTCCAATAAGTTACTCTAGGATTCCACAAAAATTTATTTCAAATTCTTATTTCTAAGAAATTTATTTGCATGCAAAGATTATAGTAAACTGGAGCTTTAAGTTAATTTCGAGAATAAACTAGAGCTTTAAGTTCATTTGAATTTATGGCAATTAAGAGTAATCTGAAATTGTAGCGCACGAATTTTCAAACTTAAATTGAATATGCAGAAATTTAAAAAAAAAAATGGAATTTAAAAAACTCTTCAAATTCAAATATTTAAAAAACAAAATACTGTACAATCGTAGTGTTCAAAAGAAAAACACGAGCAAATACAAAATAGGTTTCAAGACTCTTCGAGTTAAAAAATTCAGAAAAAAATATATTGTATACCTACAAAAACCTTTAATATTTATTGAAATGGAAATTTCCAGAAAAAATTAGAATTTGAATTACAATAATGCTTCCAAACGTATTCAAGCTAAAATATTCCTACTGAAATCCCATAACCTAAATGTTCATACTAACAATTCGAATAATAAACTAGTTTAAAAAATAAAATATCATTTAAAAACTAAATATCTAAATATAAATAAGACTAAATAATTTTAAATCAAATCTCAGCCAAGTCAAAGCCAAGTTTAGGAGCAAAGTTCAAGGCAGAGCTCAGAACCCAGCAATAAATCTGACGCTTTGCTAAGTAATTGCAAATATAAATATATACATTATATATTATTAAGGGTTTCGGATATTGCAATAGATAAGCAAATATTATGGCTAAACGTGCAGCTCGTTTGCGGTTAGTCAAACGTAAACAAATTCTTTGCAAAGCATGCGCAAGCGCGAGACACACAGATACACACACACACAGACACACACACACACACACACAGAAACACACACACACATTATTAAGTGTTTGTGTGTGAGCCATGAGGCAGTCGCACGCCTTCGGCATATAAAGTAAGCATTCTTCTGCGTCAATCGAAAGACGACAGCAATTCATTTTACTTTCCTTTTTTTTTAATATATTAAATTGGAAAAAAATATATTTATTAAAAAACAAAATTTGTTTTTCATTTTTTAATACAAAAACGAAATGTATATCTATGCTGAAGCAGTTTGCTAAAGTGACACACGCTCTGCTTTTATTGTAGATCACCTTTCCTATCGTTGATTTTATTGCTTTGATTTACATTTTATAGATAATAAACTGAAATATTTCTGATATATTTATGCATTTGCTACGTATAGGCTAGCACTGGCCCTATTTGAATACCCAAGCAATCAAAAGTGTACAACACACGCACATAGATTATGTAAGTGCAAACTGATAACAAATTCTAAAATGATAATAGATTTTAAATGTTTGAGTTTGTTTTATGTAGACATATCCAACGCCAACAGGAGAGACGTACGTTTAGCTTTTATATCATTTTAAATACATATATATATATATATATATATATATATATATATATATTTATGTATATATATATTTTAAATATATATATATATATATATATATATATATATATGTTAATTTAATGACTACTTCAGCTTAGTATTAATTAAACTAGAAAACATGCTCAAGCTTAAGTTACCTGACTAAGAACTACCCTGTACACAGCCTCGCGCATATTCTGGATAATTCCTTACTTTTTTGCATAACTCGAAATCAAATCGACCGAAAGTTATCAACTTTTTGGAGCTTTAAGAGCTTATATGTATACCAAAAATCAAAGAGAAGAGAAAAATTTACGAGAACAACAGTCAATATTTTACATATTTATAGCCTAATTGCACTATTAACATTTATAACATTTATAAAATTTCTTACGAATGTTATATTATTTGCGAATGTGAACGTGTTTGTGTTTAACCTAAAAAATCAAACGGATCAGCTGTTTATTTAAAAAATCGATACGTGTGCCATTTATATGTTACCAACAACTTACACTTGCTAACGGAATCGTAGAATGTGAAGTTTGCAAATGTAACAAATGTTGAGCATAATGAAATCAGGCTTTTAGATGTTTTACGCTGTGATAAACCTTCGGCAAGATCAATTCAGCTCGTATTCATCGAGAATATCTATGCTTAGTGAGAACTGTAATAATAATTATAATCATTTGCACATTTCCAGACACAAGCATTAAATATTCCAATTTAAAATCATTTCGCGCTTTTATCAAAGAAGAATTTTACAATCAAACGAGAAATGCCAACTGCTCACAATCTATGACTTATACAGGGTATACATAGTTTTTGTGCAGGCACATAAATAAGCTCATACATATGTCTAATGTATAATAATAGTACTGTGGGCGCGATAAGATGTGCGCCCACTCTGGTTACTTAGTTGTCGGGCGGTGTGATAAGCGACTAATGCTGGCGTTTTTAACGTTTTGTAGCCGGATGGATGGACAGAAAGACTGGACACCCAGCGAATACCAAGTGCATTTCAATGCTGTCTACGCTACGCCCAATCCCTGCACTTACATAAAGTCCTCGATATCCACAAACTGCGTAAATTGACAGGGCTCCGGTTGACTCGGACCATAGCCATAGCAATGCTCATAGCCCCAGTGCTGGTTGCCGCGACACGGCGTTGCCAGGTTGAGCAGCCGCATACCTGGACGTGCATAGGGCATGCCCGACTGCTGGCCATAGCCCGACGAGAACTGGCAAAAATCGGATGCCTGCCGCTGGTAAGGATGAAAGCGCGACATCGACGGCGACAGCTCCAGGCTCGTGCAGCCGTTGTACAGGCCGCTAGCCGCAGCACCGCCGCCTGCATAGGCTGGCGTTGGTGGTGCGGGCATATTGTAGAAGCCGCCATTATTGAAGTTTACGGCGGGCTCATTAATGGGCCTACAGCCATAGATTAAGCCATTAGACGGGTTTTGTTGCTGTTGTTGTTGTGGTTTTATGTCTGGCTCATAGAAGCAGCTGGCATCGTCGCCATAGAAATTATTTTCAACACTTGGAAAATTACAGTTTTCCCAGCCGTTGCAAGAATTAAACATTATATTTTGTTATTGATGGCTGAAGCCATGTCACACACACACACACGCACAAACACTCAAAAACACTGATTTTATTGTTTTTTTTTTTTGGTAAGAGAAAAACAACCGCTTGTAAGGAACATTTAAAATGAACAGAAAATTCTAATAGCATGAAATTCATATTTATAGCAGTTGGCAGCAAAATCGCAATATCAAACTGATAGCAAAAGCACCCACGCACACAAACACGAACTTACACATACATAAGTACACTAAGAGAAAAAGTGGTTGAAATCCATTCAAGTGCAAAAGTTATCCAAAGTACAAAATCACAAGGCAGCGTTCTCGCTCCTATTCTATATACAATATTTTCAGCCGACATCCCACAAATTAATAATTCTGGCATGTTATTGGCTTCTTACGCCGATGATGTCTGTGTTTTAAACTCAAACACATCAGAAAGTGAAGCAACAACAGGTATTCAGCGATACCTCGATGAATTTGGTAATTGGGCCAAGAAGTGGAACATGGGAATTAACACCAGCAAATCGATTAATGTCTGTTTCACATTACGACGTAAACGAACTCCACCAGTTTCTCTCAACATGCAACCAATTCCACAAGCATCCTCGGCCAGATATCTGGGCATCACCCTCGACCAACGACTTACTTATCGAGAACATTTTGAAAAAGCTGCGACAACCTGTTATCTGAAGAGAGACAAACTTCACTGGATGTTGAACCGAAGAAGTAAGCTTCCATTACGGTGCAAAACTCAAATCTACCAGCAAATCATTGCGCCAACTTGGAGATATGGCATCCAGATTTGGGGCACAGCTACCAAATCAAACAGAAGACGTTTCCAGACAATCCAAAATAAAGCTTTACGCCTAATAACTGGCTGCAGCTGGTATGTCAGTAATCTGACAGAGATCTGAATATTACGCTAATAGAAGATCAGATCTCTTTCTACTCCAGTCGCTATAACGAAAGACTGATAAACCACCAAAACAGATCTGCACAAGCCCTTGTCGGATCTATTCCTATAAATAGACTGAAGAAAAGACACTTCGGTCTTTTACAAAACTTAACCTTAACCTTATGTAGAGCAGGAGAAAATAAACTAAGAAACAAACATTGTTAAATGCAAATTTTGAAGCATGTACATGTTTAAAAACTCATATTATCTTTTAATATAATAAAGATTTTCATAATAAAAAAAGTACAAAATACCTTATTTCAAGAACTTTTTATACCCAAAATTTGTATACACAAGACTCAACAATCGGGCCAAAGCTGGTATTTCTTAAAGTGCGAACGAAATTCTCTTTTCAAGTACTTAGATTGAGAAAGTTTTACGCTTATTCCAAGCAAGAACGAAATGTACTTTGAAATTTGAAATGCCAAAGCATACAGGAATTTTGGTGCTGTCCCTTTTCTTCAAGTGTAGGCTTTGAAAATCCCAAACAACAATGCTGCAATTGGTAAGAGCGAAACGTTTTCAATGAACTTCACAGAAGTTGGAATGAAAACGCAGTACTAAATGCCAGACATTAACAGCAGCTATCAGTCGCTATCAGCACAAGAGATAGCCAGAGAGTGAGAGAGAGAGAGAAAGAGAGAGAGAGAGGGAGAGGCTGCTGCTGATAAGATAAAGGCCCAAAACAACACGTTGCTCGCCGCTTGCAGCCAGGCCAATTATTCATGTGTGAATTGACCAGAGATAAGAGAGAAGCCAGCGTTGAGTGCGCAAAACTGGCAGAAAGCAATACAAATAAACAAAAAAATAAATAAAAGGAAAAATAAAACAAATTAAAAAAAGTGGACACATTAATTACACATTTAGCTAGTTCATTAACTTGGCTAAAAGAGTTGCATACTCTACAGCGCAGCAACTGATATGCATATATCGCTCTGTCTCCCTCTCTCTCTCTCTTGCTCTCTCTCTCTCCCTCTCTTTCACGCACACGCGCCTTATAAAACGCTTTTCTTATCTATCAAGGACTCGAGTCTGGCAAAATATTTGCATACGCAGCCCGCACAAACTGCAGTAGTTTATTCTTGTTAGATACAAAGTAAAACGCTTACAAATCAAAAAATATAAAATAAATAAAATAAAATGAAAACCTGTTAACTGTAGTTCCACCTTCACAATTTGGCCAGCTGGATAGAAATCCGCCGCGTTTTTTTTTTTCTGTTTCTTATGCTACGTTTGTAGCCAGCTCTGATAACATTGTAAAACATAATAAAGTCAAATATTTTCATTGTGTTTTTTTTTTTTTGTTGGTAAACACGGGCTGAAAGTGAAACGAGATAAGCAAGCAAATAGGCAGCAGGCACCTGGCGCGATTAACTAACGGTTAATGTGCCTAAAGATGTGATCCGCTCCACAAGCAGATTACTGAATGGTGACTGGTGAATGGCCGCCAAAGTTTATTAGAGGCCCGAGTACATTTAACAACAACAATTGATATCATAGCTCTAAAATAAAAAAAAAAACAGTGCTAATCTGATTGATCACTGACTAAATCCACAGATTTGCCGATTGCTGGAATCGGCATATATTAAACAAAATTTCGATAGGTTGCGAAACGAGAAAGTCACGATATCTTCGACAGGCCTATGATATAATACTCTTGTAGACCTTCGCCATACAGATATGTGAGCATAGCGAAGCTTCTAAAGGCTGAATTTAATGAAAATATCTTGGGAAACAGATTATTTTGACAAACAAAAAATCTGTAGCGCGATCTATATAAGGTTTGGCTCACATAGTGGCAGCATAGTTTGGTCAAGATTTGGTCAAAGGGTTTTCATACAAAAACTTTATATTCGATCGATCGTTCATAGGGCAGCTGTATGCAAACTTCCAAGTTGATTGGTTTTATCAACTCGGCTGTTGATGCTGATTAAGAATATATCAACTTTAAAGGGTCGTCTCAATCTATGTCTCATTCTATGCGTTACACATTTCATGACAAAATTATTCTACCCCAAAATTATAAATAATAGTAAGGTGAATTAAAAAAAATGTATATATCAACTAGATTATTTAACTGCTAATTTACTTTTGATAAGAGCATAAGAGAGTAGAGAAAATTTCGAACCTACTCCCAATAGGTAGAAAAATAAAAGTCAAACGGGTCGGATAAGAAAATACCTCTTTTTTGTGTAGAGATTAAGAATATTTTTAAAGCAATGGCAAAAATCCAACAAAATTATAGATAGACTTTTGAAGCAGAAGGATCACATATATAACAATCAATCTTAAGTTCGGGCTAAGAGGGAAGAATACGCAACAAGTTCAAAAAAATACCTGGCTGAACAGAAAGAAGCTACTCTGACCCCAAAATGAATATATATTCCTGGTCAGCATCAATAGCCGAGTCGAACAAGACATCCATATGTATGAACGTGCCGAACCTCAAAGAGCTAGAGACTTGAAATTTTGAACGTAGATCCTTCTAGTGCCCTAACCCCTTAGGGTTAAGAAGCTAGAGTCACAAAATTTGATATATAGCTTCTTGTAAATTAAATTAAAAGTCTAGTAAAATTACAAAAAAATTGGTATATTATTGCTATTTATTGTATAAAATTGTATATTTTATTTGTTCAAGAGTATAGTGAGCACAAGAGAAAAAAAATATAATTAAGATAAAAGGTATCAAGATATGAGCCTATAACAATCACAATCACACGCTGAGCAATTGCTTTATTACGAAATGGGGTCACATGCGATCCAGTTAAGTCTCATGTTTTATCACATACAAAACAGGCCATCATCGGGCGTTCCCATTTATATGGCATACAGGTATTACAATAACCGGAGGATAACAACAGCAAAAACAATTTATGCATATTTGCAAACCAGCTGTGCAACTCGCAAGAATTATGGGCAATTTTTTGCTGTTAACCACTTGCCCCCGACAAGCGCAAAGGCTACATAAATTTACTTTCCCTGCCGCAATATCATGAAAAATAAGAAAACATAATTATCACAACAAAATCAAAATTATTGCATATAGTATAAAAATAAATCGGCTGAAGGCAGCGCCGCAGAGCAGATACATTCAGGCACAGCTACAGATACAAATGGCAGAGACACAGAAACACAGATACAAAACAAAAAAAAAAAACGGATGAAAAAATGAACGCGTGAGACGGCTGCTGCAGTTGGCGGTTGCATGGCAACAGAGTCGATGGAGTTTGGCTCAGATCGTAAGACGACGACATCGAAAACAATAACAACAACAACAACAACAAGAACAACAAGAACAACAATAGCAACAACAACAACAACAACAACAGCAACAACCACTGAGTTTTTTTATATAAATAAAAAGAAAATCCGACCAAAAACAAAAACAACAACAGTCGTTTGAGGCATACGGAACACAGGCAGGCACACACACGACCACACCATTTACATACACAACAAACACACACACGCACACACACACACACGCCCCGCCAACCCGTAGCCCCGCTAACATCATCACACTTTAGTTCGTTTGCGCAAAAAGTAGGTCGTCGTGGCCAGACAGAGGCTGCCGCGGCCAGCAACAACAAATAAAAAAAACAAACAAACAACAATAACAACAGCAGCAAACAACAATAGCAACAACAACAACAACGGCAACCTTAACAATAAACAACAACAATGAAGCATATCATTTAAATATTTTACATATTGCGCTCTTAGGCTAATGTTAATCTTATGCGTTTGTTTGCCTTGCGCTGATATTGAAATACACAACATTTCTATTTATATATCTATATTTATTGTTTTCTATAATTTGATATTCATTTTTATATAAAAAAAAAACAAAGGGTAGCTTA